GGCCAGCCCCTAGGGCTGGGGTCAGCCGGCCTGCCAGGCTGGGGCTGGGGCTTAATGGTTAATGTGGGTTAACCAGTAAGACTAATGCTTACCATTTAACTGTTTAATATTTTACATCCCTAAATTCTACCATTTCCATCTACTAATGATTGATACCATTCTTAGAATTCCTTTTGTTCCTAATACATTTTAAAATCACCTTGTCCTTAAATCTGCTCCCCATAGATTTCTCCTTGTGTCTTTTTGCTGCCCTTCTTTTCTATGATTCCATTTGTTATATATAAGTTTATAGATGCTTTTATTTACACTCTAGGCCAGGTTTGTTTTTTAACCAATGTGGTGTTTTTTCTTGATTGTTGGATCTTATTTCTGGTTTGAATTTATATAGCTTCAGCTCCCAGCTGTTGACTCTTGTAATGTTTTTGTTGGCTAGATAAGAGCCCTCTGCTTTCAGAAATTATCTCCCCATGTAGGCATTTATAGATTGTGATCAAGTCATCTCTTTACTTCTTAAACTAAATAGACTGAACTTCTTACGTTTCTCACTGTAATACGTGCCTTTTAGTCATCAAATAATTCTTATGGTGCTTTTCTAAACTCTTTTCAATTATATAATTGTACCTTCATATAATTCCAGTCAGAATTGGGCGCCAGTGGCATCAGGCTTTTGGTCATAGCCCTGGTAGGTCACAAGATTCAGACCTTAAAATTGCAACATTCTGTGCACAGTCCAGATACTTCTGAAATAAATAAAATTCAAGTTAAAGCAGGTTTTATGATGTGTTAAACTATTTCACATAAACAAATTTTATGTTAACCTATTAATAGCTGATCCACGCAATCCGCTTAATAGCCAGGGTAGCCAAGCCCCAGGATTCTTGCTGAAAGCCGTGGTTTCCTTTGTCAGGCTTTTTACTGCAGTAGTGGCGCACACTGCTTGCCGTCTGAACAGGCAATTTGGGGTAATTTCTGCCAGAATCAGCCCAAACTCATTCATGGTTCCTTAGAAAACAGTGATTAACCCCAGTATTATTGAATAGTAATGCACTATGAGGATGTATCCTTACTGGACAGTAGCTGAATCAGAAATATATGGCAATACTACGTTAATCTGTAATCTGAGATACACTGGGGTGTATTTCCATGCCCAGTTTGTTGTACATTACCTATGATTAGACGCTTGCTTCTGATGTGTTCCTTCTTAAATGTAAATTGCACATAATGTATTGACGATGCAAGGATAGTTAGTATAGCACTCCCATAGCGATGTTCCAATGAACTATTGCAGCCATCAAATGATAAAAGAATTATACTTTAAAAACACCATGGAATGATGAAAGAAACATATTGGGTTCAGTTGTGATTTAATGTCACAGTCTATTGCAGGGGCACATATCCTCAGCAGGAACTTCTGGAGGCATTTGCTCAGCCTGGCACAATGCTTCCAGGCGTGCACCACCCTTTGAAAAGGTTCAGGATGTGTTCTTCAATGCCACATGAGAAACTGTCTGAGCCTTTGGCTCTGCCCCTTTAGAAAGGTTAGCAAGACAGTGTCACTAGTGTGTAGTGGTCCTTGTTTTCAGGGGAGTACAAGGACAGCCATTTTGCCTGATCACTGTGTACGAGTGCAACTGAGGCCAGGTACAGTTGAGACTTCAGATCCTATTAAGTACCTAAGAGTCAGGGTGGGCTATTTCTTCTGGCTGGAATTCTAGACCAAAATATGAAAATAGGGTTTTCATTGCAGGATACACTGATAAAGTGAAGGATCTGGCTTTAGAGCACAGTGGAAGTAGCATAAACATTCCCTAAGTAGAAGAGAGGGACTCGTGTCACTTTAAATCTTTCCTTTAACCAAGCGATGGACCCAGAGGCAGCAGTGAAGGACTCCAGTGGGATTCCTATGTCCTCCGTTCTTCCAAAAGTATGGGTGGCCATGATTGACAGTCTTCTAGGGTTGTGCTGGGAAGAATAAAGACAAATGGGGGAAATCTGGAGGCAAAACATTGTAAAGAGAGTTTTTAAAACCTGGTTTTTTGCTATAATTCATACATTCAGATGTGTTGTTACTTTTAGTAGAATGTTAAAGGGCTATCAAAACTCAGTGGTTCCAGGGGAGAGCCGGTGAGAAAAGACCAAAGTGATATGAAAGCGTTTAGCTAAATAGAATCCTAGAAATGTAAGGGGTTGGAAGGAACCTCAGTAGTTTATCTTAGTCCATCCCTCTGCTCTGAGATAGGACTATGTATACATAGATCATCACTGACAGGTGTTTTTCTAACTTGTTCTTTAAAAAATCTCCAATTACAGGGATTCTATACCTGCTTTGGTAACCTATTCTAGTACTTAATTATCCATATACTCAGAAAATTTTTCTTAATATTTGACCAGAATCTCCTTTCCTGCAGATTAAGCCGATTATTTCTTGTTCTACCTTAAGTGGACATGAAGAACATTTGATCACTGTTTTCTTTATAACACCTCTTATCATATTTGAAGACTGTTATCAGGTTCCCCCTTCAGTCGTCTTTTCTCAAGACTAAACATATCTGGTTTTTTTAAGCTTTTGTCATAGGTCAGGTTTCTCTAAACCTTTTGTCATATTTGTTGCTGCTGCCCTTTGGACTCTTTACAATTTGTATCATTCTTAAAGTGTGGAGTCCAAAACTGGACACAGTATTCCTCCTACTAGTGCTACTCAGCCACAGCTGAGGCCTCACTAGTGCTGAGTAGACTGAAGCAATGAATCACCTCCAGTGTTTTAGATATGACACTCCTGTTGTTCCACCCCAGCATATTAGCCTTTTTTGCATCACGTTGGGTCATATGCAGTAAGTGATCCTCTATACCCCCAGATCCTCTTCTGCAGTATTACTGCCTAGCCAGTTACTCCCCATGTTGTAGTTGTGCATTTGATTTTTCCTTCTTAAATGTAGTACTTGGCACTTCTCTTTATCGAATTTCATATTGCTGATTTCAGACCAATTCTCCAGTTTGTCAAGGTCAATTTGACTTCTGATCTTGTCCTCCAGAATACTTGCAACCACTCCTAGCTTGGTGTCATCCACAAATTTTATAAACATACTCTCCATCCCATTATCCAAGTCATTAATGAAAATATTGAATAGTACCGGACACAGGACACACCTCTGCAGGACCCCAGTAGACAGGTTCTCCCAGTTTGATAGCAAGCCATTGATTACTCTTTGAGTATGTGTTTTCAGCCAGTTGTGCACCCACTTAATAGTAGTTTCAGCTAGACCATATTTTCCTAGTTTGCTTCTGTGAATGCAACGTGGGAATGTATCAAAAGCCTTCTTAAAATCACGATAAATCATTGCTGTTGCTTCCCCTCATCCATTAGGCCAGTAATCTTGTCAACAAAGGAATTTCAGTTGGTTTGGCATGATTTGTTTTTGACAAATCCATGCTGGCTATTATTCACCATTCTATTATCCTCTGTGTACTTGTTCCATTATCTTTCTAGATATTGAAGTTACCCTGACTGGTCTGTAATTCTCCACTTTCTCTTTGTTCCCCATTTTAAAGATAAGTACAATGTTTGCCCTTCTCTAGTCCACTGGGACCTCACACATCCTTCATAAGTTCTCAAAGATTGCTTCTTGTAGTTCCTTAAGTATGCTTGGGTGAATTTTGTCTGGCCCTGCCAATTTGAATACATCTAAATTATCTAACTATTCTTTAACCTATTCTAGCTTGTGTTCTTTCCCCCTTGTTGTTAATATTAAATCTGGTTAGGTATTTGATCACAATTAGCCTTTTTAGTGAAGATGTAAGCAAAATAGGAATTAAACACCTCAGCTTTTTTGATGTCATCAGTTATTAGCTCTCCGTCCCTGCAAAGTTGTGGACCTACACTTTACTTACGTTTTTTCTCTAGCTCCTAATGTATTGAAATAACCTCTTCTTGTTGCTTTTTATGTCACTTGCTAGGTATAAGTCATTTTGTGCCTTAACTTTTCTGATTTTGTGCCTACATGCTTGTGCTATTCTTTTGTACTCATTCCCAGCAATTTGTCCATGTTTCTGCTATTCATAATATTTCTTTTTGATTTTCTGGTCTTTAAAGAGCTCCTGCTGCAGCCGTATTGGCCTCATACTATTCTACCTATCTTTCCTTCGCATTGGGATAATTTGCTGTTATGAGAAACTGCCAGCTCTCTGGAACTCCTTTTCCTATAGATAGTTCTGAGCTTGTTAAAATTTGCTTTTTTAAGTCCATTTTTCTTATTCTGCTGCTCTCACTTCTTTCTTTCCTTAGAAACATTACATGATCACTTTCACCCAAGTTGCCTTCTACCTTCAGATTCAAGAATCAGTCAGAATCAAGTCTGAAGTACTTCCCCTCCACAATTAATTCCTCCACTCCTGAAACAAGAAGTTATCCTCTACACATTCCAGGAACTTACTGGACACTTTGTTTTGCTGTATTACTTTTCCAACAGATATCTAGGTCGCTAAAATACCCCATTACTACCCGGTCTTGTGTTTTGGTTATTTCTGTTATTTGTTCGAGAAATGCCTCATCCACCTTCTCCTCCTGATTTGGTGATCTATAGTAGATACCTACTGTGAAGTTGCCCCCATTTTTTGTCTTCATCCAGAGAGTTTTAACTGGCCTGCCTGTCACCTCCTTCAGAACAAGTGTATACAATCTTGATCTACAATGTAACATCTCCTCCTTGTTTTCCCCTGCCTGTCTTTCCTGAACAATCTATGAGAGACTGTACCAATATTCCAGTTATTCAGCAATCCAATATTCAAACCAGCTGTAAGAAATTTTTATTTCAGTTGCATTAAAATAGATTTCCAAATCAGCTTCATGCTTTTGAATGAAGAATGGGCATAAGGATCAAACTCCTCAGGTGCACTTAAGCTAATTTTGCTTGACTTTTTTTCCTGCATTATTCCCCCTTCCCCCACCCTTTGCATTTGGAAAGGTTTAATCTAATAATTTCCCAATTCTGTTTCTGCTTCAGAATGCAGATTTCACCCCAGGTACATGGCGCAGAACAGATGTGCACTTGGAAAACCCAGAGTACCACACCAGATGGTATTTCAAATATTTTCTAGGAAAAGGTAATTACACTTTTGTAAATGGCTTAAACATGATTTTAAATAAATGAGAAATACCTTTCACATTTGAGTAATTGCAATTGTTAAAGTGCATGGGATTGACTTTATTTCTTACTATTAATATTGCACCTTCGGTGTGTGCAGTGCTGTACAGAAGATGGACTGAGGCAGACAGGTTGTTCCATGCCCCAAAGAGCTTAGCTTCTGATGTTATTGTGGGCACAATACAATCCAGGATAAGCACATGGTAGTATTTGGTCACTAAAGCTGTAATCATTCACTGCACTGCAGACTTTACTGCCAGTCCATTGGAAACTAAACTTCTAGTATTGACGTGAGAGAGAAGCTCCAAACCCAAGAAGTCTTGTCACATTCTTTCAAGAATTCTAGTGCTCCTCACTTTTCTTATAACGTAAAAATGTTTTCAGAACACTTTTTGTTTGAGGATTTTTGTGTTTCTACTTCTTGTCCCAGACAAAATAAGGAAATACACTTGAAGTGTATGTGAATTGTTGAAGGCTAAGTTAATTGCACATCAGGAAAAGTTTAGGCCCAGTTAAGACTTGAGTGAAGGTTCAGGTTAGTTTATATCATATCTGAAGTGGCTTACTCAATTGTTCTTGTTCTTTTTCACAAAATATCTTCCAGAACTGCGCCATTGAGTTGCCAGGATCTCACTAGGTTAGTCATTTAGGCCCTTACTTGGCCTTGTAAGTCTAAAAATAGCAATTATGTCACTCCCTATAACGTAGCAGTATTTTGTGAGAGGGCATATTTGCAAAAGACTTTAAGGGAAATCAGCAGAAATGGCTTTTCTTCACAGATTTTATAGGAAAGAACTGAGATGGCAGAATCCTGTAGTTTGAGAGACTTGAAACATAAACTTTACAGAACAAAACAAAAAAAATCCCTCTCTTCCCCTTGAAGTTGCAATTCCTCAATAAATTTTCTCTTACCTCTTCTAAATTTAAACTATTGCTCTTGGTAGTGAGGCTCTGCAGCAAGTTTTTGATTTCCATGCTTTCTTCATTAAGTCTTTTAAAGTTGTTGACAGAGTCAGGATTTCTTAATGTGTTTGCAAGAGTCTTTCTTCTATTCATTTTGTTTTCTAATACACAGCCTGAAATTGTAAACATCTATTTCTGAAAATCATTTTTACCTTTCTGTTGCTTGTGTTTCTACAGTGCTTAGCACAATGTCCATGACAAGGCTCCTAAGCACTACCTCAGTACATACAAACAAATAAATAAAACGCACAATCTGGTTTGTTACTGTAGGGATGTTCACTAGGGCTAGGCTGTATACACCAGTCGGTTATTGCAGGATGTTCATAGCTGCTTCCTTGTGCATACTAGGTGGTTTTGAATTTGCCTATTAGTGCTGGATAGCTAGAAAAATATATTTTTAAATAAGACATTTTCTTGGAAAAAATCTCTCAAAATTACTTGCATTTTACAAACAGATGCAAGAAAAATAGAAACTTTAACATTTGAATCTATTGATAGTGGTCCTTTAAGTCATGTTCTTAAAAATAACCTAAGCCAAATTTCGGAGGTATTTTGGAAGCTGTTGGATCAACTGAATATTTACTTGTGAAATCGCACAGAGCACTGAAACTACTCAATGGAAATGCTGATTAAAGAACGGTGTTGGCTGTAGCATATCAATTTATAAACTTTAGAAATGGAAAGAGCAGGAGTTGTGCACTGCATGTTATCACATTTGGGAACTGTTGAGCTTCCACGTTCATTAGCATGCTTTGCAAATGACATATTCTCAGTTTGGCCTGTTTGGGGGAGAGACAATGAGGAGAGAAAAGGCTTGACCTAATGCTGTCATGGCCACTCTTAAAAGAAAGCATCATGGTTACTATTTATATAAACATATAAAGGGTAGACGATCTGTCAGTACTATAATAAATCCAGAAAGCCAAGTTTTAAAGGGCAGGTGAGTTGTATCTGCATAGTGAAATCAGATCTCCACAGAGGATCAACCTCTTGGACTCAGCAACAGTGAAAACAGGACTGCTTGTCAGCTTTGCTCTCTGCAAATAGTATTGGTAAAAAAAAAAGTGTATTTATTGTTATTCATAGAACAGATTTTCAGTAGGTGTCTAGCACATTTTAGGGTAAAATTGTGGTGGCCTTACTCATGTTAGTTATCTCATTGATAGAATCATAGACATGTAGGGATGGAAGGGACCTCAAGAGGCCATCTAGTCCATTCCCTCACACTGAGGCAGTATTATGGATACCTAGACCTTCCCTGACAGGTATTTGTCTAACCTGTTCTTAAACACCTCCAGTACTAAGGATTCCATAACATCCCTTGGTAACCTAGTCTGGTACTTAACTATCCTTATATTTAGAAAGTGTTTCATAATATCTAACCTAAAACTTCCTTGCTGCAGATGGACAATTACTTCTTGTCCTACCTTCAGTGGACATAGAGAATAATTGATCACCATCCTCTGATAACAACCTTTTACATATTTGAAGACTGTTCTCATGTCTTACACACCTACACCCCAGCCTTCTTTTCTCTAGGCTAAATTTTCAGCCTTTTCTCAAACATTTTAGACCTTAAAATCATTAAAACTTCCACTGAAGCGGACATCTCCTTTGTATGATGCATCTTGGGTCCATAACACCAGCTGCCTACTATTAATGTTTTGTCAGTTATTACATGTTAAATGGAAGCTTCAAGGCAGCATTAAGTTTACAATTATAATTGCAAAAAGCCAGGAACTTGAAAAATATTAAGGTTATAATACAGTTAATATGGTCATATTGTACATACTCTGTATATTATGATGTACATAATGACATTAATATGACAGATACATATTTGAATAGAAAAACAAAAATACATCTGAGTTAATGCTGTAGGAACCTTAACTTGCTGTAATTAAATGCAAAAATAATTTATAGCTGAGATTTTAAATGTACAAAAGATTGGAATTTTAAAGTTGTTTCCCACAGAAACGAAAGCTCAACAAGTTTGTAAATATATAATGTATAATATTTAATATTGTGGTAAGGTGACTTAGGCATAGTTGCTGTTGGAACCATAATTATGAATTCTATGACCTTTCTGTGTGTATTTAAAACATGAGACCTTTCATAATTTAAAAATATTTTTTCAAATCATGTTTCTTTCTTAAAATCAATGGCATCCTTATTTGTTTTATTAGGCTTCAGTAAAGCCATTCTTGACCAGCATAGACCAAATGTTAAATGCAGATGTTGTGTACTCTGGGACTGGGCATACACACTGAAATTGCTACCCACATCAGGGACACTGTTCCAGGTGCAGTGAGCAGCATGATGGAGAGAACAAAACCAAGAGTAGAGAAAGGGACAAAGGATAGAGTAAGCAAAAGGAATGGAAAGTGTTTAGTGGGGCTTGAGAGAGTTCAGAGGAAAATGTGACTGTGAGATTATTATAGGACCTGCTAGAATGAGGAACTCAAACTAGATGCAATAAGTAGAAGAATTCAGAGGGTGGTGGAGTGGTGGAAGCTGGAGGAGTGGCAGAGAGATTGAACAAGAGAAGGTTATTTTAATCAAGGCAAGAGATCACAGTACATGGACAAGGGTTTCAGCAGTGGGAAAAGTGAGTAAGGAGATTTTGGCAATATGCTGCTGGAAACTTACCAACAATGTAGTTCCTTTTGTAACAATTGATTTTTCCTTGTATAATTGTTTTTCACTTTTCATGTTTCCTTTTCAGTTCATCAGAATTACATAGGTACAGATGCAGAGAAGAACCCTTTTTTTCTGTCTGTCGTGCTCTCCAACCAAAACAATCAACGTGTCCCTCAATACCGCTCAATTCTCTGGAAAAAAACAGTAAGGAACAAATACTAATTGTTGCCTGTCTGCCTGCTCTCCATGGTTTTTTAGGGCATTTCCTTCCCTCAGTTGTACCACTGAATTCTTAACATTTTTCCATAGCTACTGTGCTGTGGTTAGCACAGGAGATACATATATGGTATGAGTAAGCCCAGAAGAGAATGCAAACAAATCTTCTCTGTAGGGTTCATGTGTCCAGATGCTAATTTTTTGTCATCCTGGCTTCCTTCACCTACAGGAAACCTTTGGATTCCCTGCTGACCGCCTAAAGGTCATTAACTAGGTATTAAACTCGCTTATTTTTAAGTATTTACTATTTCTGAGCACTGTCAGTGAGGATAGCTTTATATAAAACATAGGAGAAGGAATGGTCCCTACTCCAAGGACCTTCCATTCTGCATTTAGCGAGATCATACAGTTTGGACTGTCAATATGTTGGTTGACTTGCATAGAAGTTCAGTCACAAATGGGCATATTTTAATTATTCATTGTAGTGAATTATCATTGAAAAGCTTCACAGAAGTTGTATTTCAAGAAGATATACAAATGCATAGAGGGTGGATGTGTGGCCACAAGGAGAGAGAGGAAGATCCATGTCTATGGAATAACATAAAATGAGAAGTAAAGATGAGAGAAGAAGGATACAAAGAGAGTGTTTAGTTAGTAAGGTGGCTTAGGAGAGCAGACAGATGGGAGTGGGAGAAGAGAGGTGAGATACAGGCAGGGATGTAGTTGTCAAGGACCTTGAAATAGATGATGACAAGAAGGCAAGATGAAGCCAGTGAAGGAGGGGAGTGACCTGGGCAGAAGCAGTAGAAGTGGTTTAAAGGGAAAAGGGTATTGTAAAATATGAAGTGTTGGTAAAGTGGCGTAACACATAACCACTTAAATAATTTATTCAAACTAAAAAAGCAAACAGGAAAATTAGACAGATTTATACAACTCCCAGGCAGTGAGAGTACATCAAAAGAATATCACCCAAATACATACTTCCTGTCTCACGCGTATTGCAGAAGAGATTTTGGTCAATTCTTGGTGATATTTGCTTCCTAGGAATCACACCATGCATATTGATTTGTTCCATGTTTCTTGGCTCTTGAGTGGACTGTCTTTACAAAAAACAAAATTAAAAATAAAGCCACCAAAAAGGAAATAAAAAAAATTAGAGATAACATGAGGGGGGAATGTTCTCTTCATTCTGCACTTTAGACTCCCCTATTGTACAGTAAAAATATGATGACAGATGGAAGTGTCAGTTACTTCAAAATACACTAGTCCAAATGATTAGCAATTTATGACGGCTGAATCAGTACAGTGAGCACATTTAAGTTCATTCCAGTTCTCAAGATATTACTGGTTTTAGTGGTATTATCCATTCTAAATATAGGAAATATAATTAAAACTGGAATTAACTTTTTAATGCACCCACTGCATATAGGAGAAAAGCTGGACAGTGTACAGATTATATAGTTTTGCTTGTGAGTGTTTGATCCTACTGGATGCCTTAATAGTCCTGTGTTTGTCATCAGAAGTGCTACATATGAACATCAGCTGCAAATAAATAAAAACTCTTGAGTTTCCTTGGTTTTTCTTTTGTTATTTATCTGATATGGTTCTTTAGTGATGTGATCATTAGCCAATAAAACCTTTACTCACAGAAATAGTCTTCCAAATAACAATTTTAGTGGTAACTTTTTAATGAATTTTGGTAACCTCCCAGGCTGAGTTTGAAACAAGATTATGCCCTTGCTGTACCCACCTATTGTGTGATACTATATGACATCCACTACATAAAATGACTGAATATGTACTCAAAATAAGCACTGTGGGAACATTTGCCATTCAGCAACCATTTGATCAACTCTTCTAAATTTTCAGGAGCAGGTATGCAATAGTTAGAGTTCTACAGCACAGAACTGATGTGGTCTAGGTGTGAGCCTTGTAGGATTTCCTTCTGTGGGTTAGTAAATGACTGTAAAACTCCACCGTGTGTTCAGGAACTATTGAGATAAAGTAAATAATAAACCTCATGCCATCTTACAAGTCAAAAGAATATCAGTGGTTTTATGCAGGATCAAAATTAAAGTGTAAGGTCAGCAAAGATGTCTCTGGGAGTCTATTAAGTCCACTTTAAATAGCTTTACAGAAACCTACTAAATGGCTTTATGTCAATGGAATATTTTCTTCCAGCACCAGGACGAAAACTGAGACAAGTTCTTCGGTCTTTATTTTTCTGTAAAATATTTTGCTGTTGTATTGTGTTTTGTGATTCTAAAAAATGTATTTATTTTCTTTGTGATAGGGCTGGGAACATAACCAGCTGGATTGTGTTTGTCCCCCTGTATAGGAGATGTAAGTGGAAGGGAGGCACCTTCTCCTTATTGTCTCCTTGGCATAACCATGTAGTGTCTCAGCATCATAATGTGATCCATTATGCTCTTGACCCTACTACAAAGAATAAACACGCTTTTGAAAGGTCAAAATAATATGCATTGCAACAGCAAAATATATGCTCCCTGGTACTGCCTCCTTTCCAAAGAGGGACACAGAAAAGGTGGGGCCATGGTCCCATTCCCCTTCACACAGTCTATGGAACTTATTACATTCCTTGGAGAACATATATTCCTAGGAGCACCAAGCTGAATTGTGCTTCCCAGAGTTCTTCCTAAGGCATTGCAGCTCCATTCCACTGCCAGAGTGGGCCAGTACTAATAGGTACAGTGTGGCCCCCAGTTTAGAGGGCTGATATTTTTCTTTCAGAGTTACTGTTAGCTGCTCTCTGATTTCCTCCCCCTCTTTTTTTTCCTGAATTGTGTGTAAAAGCTTGTAAGATGTTTACAACATATGGCTCTCCTTCAAGTGATCTCTGCATATTGCCTTTTGTAGGATGCACTGACAGTTTGTAGCAGAGATGGAACCTTACTCATAGTGCCTGTTGGAGGACTCTCAGGCCCTTGTCTGCCCATTCCCTCACCATCATGAAGTTCTAGGGTAGGGGTCTCAAAGTCCCGGCCCGCGGGCCATCTGCGGCCCAAGAACCTCCCACTGTGGACTGCGGAGGAGAGACACATGCAGCCACGCTGCCGGCAATGTCTGCTGCAGGCACCGTCCCCTACAGCTGCCATTGGCTGGGTGAGAGGGACAGAGATACCATCACTAGTTGTCGGGCAGAGTCAGCCATGGAGGCAGCATCATTAGTTGCCAGGCAGAGTCAGCCATGGAGGCAGCGTCACTTTTTCCACAATGAATATAAATACTGAACACAACTATCTGATGCACACTTTCCTGCAATCCTGAAGGTTTCAACTGCTCAGTTACTGAGGCCAGACATCAACAAACTGACAGGACTGAAGCATTGCCAGGTGTCTGGCAAACACTAACATCTCTCTGGCAGGTGAAGAATTGTATAAAGTTGTATGCCAGTTTCATTATTTCTAAGTAATTCAAAATAAAAAATACAATATAAATGTTTTCTTTTCTGAACACATCTTCAGTGACATTATTGGCCCTCTGGGAGGATTTGAGGACTGGCACTGGCCCTAAGGTAAATTGAGTTTGAGACCCCTGTCCTAGGGGCTAGGCTACAAATGAAGGTTTGGCACTCTGACTGCTTCAGTCTCTTCCAGCACCAGCAGTGGTGGATTGGGAACCAGACTGAACCTGTGGTCTAAATCTTTCTTCAAGATAACTATTTTATTAAGCTTCAGATATAGCTATTGTTTATAGTAATTTAGTATAAGGTTTTATTAAAATAGATTTTTAGTATTAGATAGTATAACTTCTTCAAGCATTGGTTCCATTCTGGAAGAAATCCTGATGGCAGATCTGAAGATCAAAAAGCCAGGAGTGAGGACAGAGACAAAACAGGCTTCAGGTTTTACTCCTTCAAGAAGTGCTAAAGCCTGCTTTATCCAGCACAACAGTCAAAATTCCAAGAAGATGCACAGACTAGCTTCGGTTCTGGATACATCTGTGGGGAATTATCATCCAGCCACGTGGAGAGAGGCAGCCGGTAGCTCCGCAAGCACACGCAGGAGAAACCTGAAAGTGAAAGGAAAAAATGAACCACAAGCAGCCCTTTAAAGCTTTTTATTTAGCAGATTGTGCAACTGGGAGCCAATCATGTTCTCTGGCGGGAATTTTTTTTTAAAAAGCACAAGCCACACCTCCGGAAAAGCTCCAAAACAAGCAACACGCTGCTTAAAGAAATGAGTAGGCAACTGCATACACAAAGAAGCCAATATACACTTGCTGGGAGTGGGCTTGGCATAACATCATCAATTCAACCATCCTCTTTGGTTCTGACCCATAAGAAGATACCTAGAAAGGATCCTAAATCCATTTATGAGAAATCTAAAAAAAGCCCAGTAGAAACGGCCAGTGTGAGCACAGCTAACCCATGAATAAGAACCTCCTCAGAACCGGAAATCTTAGAATCAGGTAGACTTAGCACATAAAAACTCTGCAAGCAGAGTGAAAAATCACTCGAATGAAGTAGCAAATATTATTACAAACTCAATTATGGGCAGGTCTACACTTCAGCAGGGATAGATGCTCTGAAATTAACTGGAGGTCGATTTAGCGGGTCTAGTAAAGACCCGCCAAATCGACTGCAGATTGATCTCCAGTCGATCCCTGTACTCTACCCCCGATGAGAAGAGTAAGGTAAGTCGACGGGAGATTTTCCCGTGGTGTAGACCCTGCGGTAACTTGACCTAAGGTACGTTGACTCCAGCTACGTTATTCACGTAGCTGGAGTTGGCTAGCGTAGGTTGACTTACCGCGGTAGTGTAGACATAGCCTATGTTTGTCATATTCAAACCAGAAATTGAAGGATCTGTATTTATCATCAGCAACACAATTAGAAATTATGAATGTTGTGCCAGATCTACATGTCGGTTCCAGTCTTCTTACCCAATCTCCTGTTACCGTTGTGCTAACAACTGTCACTCGGATCTGATGCCTCCACCTTAATTGGATGCAGGAAGTGAAGAATTGAGAGAGAGGAAATCACCTTCAGAGTCAGAAAAAAGAAGGGTAGAGGAGCATCATGCCTGGCCTCTGCTTTAACCTCCTAAAACTCAGATTCTCCTAGTAAACCACTCTCTCCAGTGCCAGGACCACTGCTGTTGCCTCTGTGTTCTGGATTGGATCTGGAATCAGATCTGCAATCTGTAGACAATTACAAGCAGGAGGTGCTAGCAGTTTGTACATCCTTAGAAGAATCTCTGGCTCTCAACCAGTCCATGAGGACCCTTATTATGGATAATGTTATGAATTGGATTTGGTTGTGGATTACTGGCCAGACTGGAAGATGCCACCGTCGAGAGGCCCTTGTTGGCCATCCCCAGATCTGCAGAACAGTGTACAGTTTCAGTCCCCTCTAGCACTTCCAGAAACAGTTCCCAGAGATTTGAAGATACCAGATCCATTGACAAAATATAGAGGGAGACCAGTCTCCTACTCTGTCATACAGTTGTTTTATAGGAATTTCAGGAGATGGATCCTGAAATTAACAATCAAACATCTCCCAGAGCACTGCCTCTGCATTGTGACCCCACTCCCCACCTAGAGTGGCAATAGCAGCTGTCCCTTCCCATCTCAGAGAGGTATAGGCAGCAACATGGGATCCCAACTTAAATAGACAGTCCATGGGATCCCAGCCCTTGTCCTAGCCCTAGATAGGCAAGGATGGTAGCAAGGACAACCCATCCTCAGCACTTCCCAGCACTTAGGGTGTATATGATTAGCTGGATGGGCTGGTGCCTATTACATTTTTCTCTCCTGCTATGCTCAGTCGTCTGATGGTTGGATGTTGATGGAGTTCCCCAGAGCAGTAGGTCTTGGATTAATATCCCATTGAGATGAATGAGGTAGTTCAAATCTCTCAGAGCTATTGTCTCAGGCTCTCTGCAAACTCAAGGAGATGTTACTGTGTTAGTTAGTCAGTTCATGTTTAAGTTTTTCTTCCCAACCAGGGGACTAGAAACTTCTTAAAATGAGAGCTCAGATTCTGCTGTAATCGCTTGTCTCCGGGAGCAGAGGTCCCAGACACAGGGCTGTAGTGCCTATGCCCTACTTAAGCCACCCTTGTGTTCAGGTACTCAGGTAGCTTATCTTTCACAGGGGCTAATATCAGATGCTTTATGGGAAGGTTTAAGAGTCTCCATAATGGGTCGTTAACTTCATCTATAGGCATGCTATTACTTTTTTTCCTAATCCAAGACAGTTAGTGATTAGATTAAGTCCTGATGCATGAGGATTTATATACCTTATGAACTTTTATCCTAGCTAATATAACTGAGACTATTTTTATTATCCACCTAAATATATAATATTTTATTTAACCCTGCGATTATTGCTGCAGTATCTTGTAACATTGAGTTCCAAAGTTGAATAGTGCATTTTGTAAAAATATTTTCTTCTATTTGTTCATTTACTGGACTTAATTTTTGTTGGCTGTCCCTTTATTCTTGTATTATGAGACTGTAAAGAGGAGCACCTGACTTACTTTCTCTGTACAATTTAATATTTTTATACTTGTAGGACGTTACTTCTTATGTGGGCTCTCTAAACTTAAATAGCCTTAATTTTTTAGTCTCTCCTGCTGTGGAAATCTATCCATGCTACTAATCATTTTCATTGTCCTTATCTGCAACACTTCTTTAATTCTGAGATGAGTGGCCAAAACTGAATACAGTATTCCAGTTGAAGGGCATGCTATCAATTTATAAAATGGCATAATTATAATAAAACTTAATATTTTCTTTTGCTTTTTTTTGACTACCACTGTACATTGAGAAGATTCAATTTAGCAGTCCATAGTGGTACACAGTGACAATTTTTCCTAAGTAGTTATAGATAACTTACAACCCATTAACATGTATGCATAGTTCAAGTGTTCCTCTCAATGGGCACTGTCTTGCAGTTGTCTACATCAGCGCTCATGCTGTTAAATCATCTAACATTGTTAATTCCCCCTGCAGTTCCTTACATTCCATTATACTCTAGATTAGCCTAAATAATGTTGCATCCTCTACATGTTTTGTCATATCACTCTCTTCCTCCCCCTTTTCCAGGTAATTAACAAATATATTTAGATAACATTGAGGATAGGATCCTGGTTTTTAGTTTGGTTTAGTTTTCAGCGTTTGATTTAACTTCTTTTAGTATTTTTCCTTTATAGGGTACTCAGAAAATATGCCTCCCTTACAGTCCCACGAAAACATTATCAGTGAAATCTATTTTAAGGTAAATATTCACAAATGAGTTATCATTAAATGTATTTGTCTGTGCCCTATTTTCCTTTTCTGTCAGTCAGAAGCTTTATTTCTGTTCATGTTTTCTTTTCCATTATGGCTGTAGAAAACAGTGAAACAAAGAATACAGTTCTTAAGGAAAGCACATATATGCAAGATGCCTCCAGTCCAGGTGCTATAGAATGCCAAGTAATAGCCTCGTGAAACCTCTATGGCAATGGAGAAATACAACTCTAAGCACCATACAACTCTAAGCACCTTTTTTTTGTGTGTGTGGGGGGGGGCAGAGTGGGGGAGGCGAGAATATCTTCAAGTTAGAAATTTGGCACTAACTGGAACTTACTAATTGGTGCTTAAGAGGAAGTGATCTTGGGCTTGCTTGTGGACAGACCATGTGTTGTTAAAGGTCTTACTCATCGTAATGTATACCTCTTACATGGGCCTCCCCGCCCTCCATCTAGTCTTTTGTCCTCCTATCCATGAAATGCAATAGTTAACAGTGTTAATTTTAACGTTTAGAATATCATTGGTATATGATTTCAGAGTGGTAGCCATGTTAGTCTGTATCAGCAAAAACAATGAGGAGTCCTTGTGGCACCTTAGAGACTAACAAATTCATTTGGGCATAAGCTTTCATGGCCTAAAACCCACTTCATCAGATGCATGGGGTGAAAAATACAGTAAGCAGAATATATATTATAGCACATGAAAAGATGGGAGTTGGTTTACCAAGTGGGGGGGTCAGTGCTAAGGAGGCCAATTCAATTAAGGTGGAAGTGGCCTATTCTCAACAGTTGACAAGAAGGGGTGAATGTCAAGGGAGAGAAAATTACTTTTTGTAGTGACCCATCCACTCCCAGTCTTTGTTCAGGCCTAATTTGATGGTGTCCAGTTTGCAAATTAATTTCAGCTCTGTAGTTTCTCGTTTGAGTTTATTTTTGAAGTTTTTTTGTTGAAGAATTCTTCAGTTCCCACTTTGTGAAATCCTGAACTGTTGGGTAAAACAAGACTAGGAGAGAGAGAGTGGATAAAATTAAATATAATCAGAGCTGTAGATAAGGACAAGTTATTTTTGTCTGTTTAATAAGTCATATTTTATATTTTTCTGCATATACAAACGTTTTATCATGTTTCTTATATATACAGTTGACTATTTTTCTATTTTCCTGTGTTGCTTGTGCATATTTAGGTTGTAGTTTTATGTCAAACTTAATAATACACCCGTGTGTTTTGATTTTCACTTCCCTTATGGTACTTTTTAGGAAGCGTAGGAAAAGTTTACAAAACAAAATTCACTATTGTGTCATATTAAAAGGATAACTATGATGTTCCTTAGCCCAGAGCTTTATATGCAAATAAAATAAGATTTAACGTGCTGGCAATGCAATATCTTACTCATTTCTTTCTCTAAATGCCCATGCAGTAGTCAGTGTCACTGGGGAAAGAGATCATTAGAATGCAAACCTATATGATAAAATGGCTATTCAGTTAATTCTTTATGTGCAGGTGTGTATCACTAAATGGCTAATATTGAAAAATATCTTTTCTCTCTTACAAAATCTATTATTTTAATTGCATTTCAGTGCCATGAATCTTGACAAATTTGAAAAAAGCCCTAGGGAAATTCCTCACCCTGAGATACAAAAGGTAAGAAAGAGACTGTTTTCTTCCCTCTTGTGTTTTAGAATACACTATTTATAGAAATAAATTATACTAGTTGTTGCTCAGTTGCAGTGGCAGGACATGATAGTACAGATTACAGTTCTGTGACATTGCCAAAAAACATTGTGGCTTGAAGTGTATTGAAGTGTCACTTGAAAAGGAAAACAACTTTGATTTTTAAAGAAGTGGAAATAAGATGGTTAGATCTTTGTTTGTCAGGGTGCTAACCAGGCTTTTTTTTTTTTAAACAGGATTTACTGGTTCTTGAAGAGCAAGAGGTAAGTGTAAACTGATCACTTTGAACTCACAAAACCCATTCAGCGAATATTAGCTTTGCATTTAGAATAAGTTCCCCTTTATTTGTAATAACTGAGAAACCAGTCATTTCTTGTAACAAGGACTGTAATGTGAGGCACAGTGGAGCGTGCAAAGCTGAAGATAGTCTGTAAGTTCCATTGTGAATACATTTAAGTAAATAAATAGAATTTCATCATATGACCCAAAGATAAATTAGTGGAGAAAAATATAAAAGTGGTATTTGAGTAACACAAGGATATGGGCTATATATTTCCATAAGTAGGACTTGTATACAAATCCTTAGTGGAAAAATTATAAGAAAAGTACATTTGCTGACCTTTCCTGATTAACACTCTATATCCCTGTTTTTATTTCTCAGGGCTGCGTAAATTTTAAGTTTGGAGTTCTTTATGCCAAAGATGGTCAACTTACAGATGATGAAATGTTCAGCAATGGTGAGTCAGCTTTTCATCTGGTAATTGAACACTTTTGGCTGCCCGAACGGAAAAACAACAGGACTGCATATTGACCCTGTATATTGACTATGGGGAAGAGAGATGGCTATTAGTGCTATGCTAATGATGGGTCTTTTCTGTGTGCAGGACTTGCAAACTCAATCCAATATCAGGGTCTGAGCTGGCCTTTGTGTTAGAGTAAAATATTGCATTATTTTTATATTTATGCATAAAAGGATTAAAAAGTCTGCTTCTCACAGTTGCTGTTTTGACACTGGTGTGATATTGCAAATGCACTTTGAGTAGCTCTGTATATTCCTACTTATGAAATATTGTGCCACCTTTTGGTAGAACCCTTTTTTCTAGCAGTGTAGCTAGGGGGCTCCTGTGGCCCCACCCCTTTCCTCAGCATACCCCACATACTGAGTGTGAGGCTACAAAGGTGGCGAAGTGCCCTCCCACCTCCATTCTGCCTAACCGCATGCCTGGGTGGATGTGAAACCCTCTGATGTCCTCAGAGGCAAAGTCTTCTCTTCTAAGAGTTAGGCCTGGTCCACACTAACCCCCCACTTCGGACTAAGGTACGCAAATTCGGCTACGTTAATAACGTAGCTGAATTCGAAGTACCTTAGTCCGAACTTACCGCGGGTCCAGACGCGGCAGGGAGGCTCCCCCGTTGATGCCGCGTACTCCTCGCCGAGCTGGAGTACCGGCGTCGACGGCGAGCACTTCCGGGATCGATCCGGGATCGATTTATCGCGTCTAGACCAGACGTGATAAATCGATCCCAGAACATCGATTGCCTGCCGCCGGACCCGGAGGTAAGTGTAGACGTACCCTTAGTTTAGCATTTTCATATTGCAATTTGTCAAAATCATCTAAAGTATCTCTGATTTCGTGATGGCTGGATACCATTTCCAGTACAAGGTGCTCCCATTTAGCTTTTCCTTGGCACCCAGAGTATGTACAAAATGTCTTTCTGCAGTAGTGTCTCATTTAAGGAATGAGGGTATTTTCATTTACCTCTTCTTGGATGATTAGCTGCTAAAGGCAACTGTGCATGAGGATCTGATGAGCCACGTAGCCCCCATGACCAAACTTCTTTCAGACCTAGGATTCTTTCTGTCCTACTCAAAGGATTCCCTTTAAAGGGGCCATATTAAACTCTGTAGAAGGGAGAGTTTTTCTGCGAGACCACAGGTTTCTAAAAATTAGACAGAGTATATTAAAGATTTGAAGTTGTTCTATACAGAGGGGCAAGGTTTCTTGTGGGTTTTATGGCAGTCACTACCTATGGATTCTGCACAGCTGAGAATGAGACCCATTCAGCACTGGATGTCCTGGGTCCCTAGCCCAAGTTGGGAAAGCTTTCAATTATGATCATCATGCCTCACCACCTTATAGTATGTCCAGACTGGTGGGCAAACAGGGCACACCTGAATTACTTGACAGTTTGAGGGCTCTGGTCATCCCTGGAGAGAGCATTGCACATCAGCATACTGGAACTGGGTTTTGACTCTCAAATCATTCCTCTGTATTCTGCAAGGGAAGGTTGTGGACGTAATGACGGACGATACATTGGTAATGTATTATATTGACAAATGGGAGAACTCATTCCGCCCCCTTGTGTGTGGAGGTGACCAAGTTATGGGATTGGTGTATCTGCCATGACATTCATCCCATTGCACTACATCTGGCAGTTGAGAACAATGTAGTTGCAGATCACCTGAGCAGAGATGGCTCTCAGATGCACAGGTGGTCCTTAAAGGATAAGCTACTTCAAACTGTATTTTTGAGGTGGGGTCAGCCAGTTGTGGACTTGCTCATGACGCGACCCAACAGGAAATGCCACTGTTTCTGTTCCAGAATGGGCCGGGACAGTCAGTCCCTGTTGGATGCTTTCCTTCTGCACTGTGGGGAAGGGTCTGGTGTTTGCCTTTCCCTTGATACAGAAGGCAGCAAGGAAGATACGTCAGGACAGGGCATGGGTGATACTCGTTGCCCCGGCGTGGCAGCATCAACAGTGGTTTGCTTATCTCATTCATGCGTCTTCCTCTGTCCTCAGTCTGTCCCAGGAGGAGGATCTTTTATCTGCACCTGCAGTCCCTGTACCTGATGGCTTGAGTGACTGGGATTTGACTCTGTCTATTCTTGAGCAGTTATGTTTGTCATCTGTGCAGGGCATACTAGTTAGTTGTAAAAAAACAGTCCAGTAGAAACTACAGTTTTCAGGGATGGATGCATGGGAAGTCTGATTCCCCTACTGTCTTCCATCCCTTGTTTTCTGGAATACTTAACGTACTTAAAGTGTTGTCTAATTCATTGTTAAAAGTTCATTTGGCAGCCATCTCCACGGATCATACGTTGGTTGGTGGTAGATTACTGTTCATGTTTCCAGTAAAGAAGCTCATGGAAGGTTTATAAAACATGTATCCTCCTGTGAGAGATCCTGCCCCTTTTGGGGACATAATTTGGTTTTGACCATTTGAGCAGAGTTAAAACCTCCATTTGAGCCTTTGGCAGAGTGTTCATTTTATTATTTGCCTTTCAAAACTGTCTTCATCAGCCAGGGGAGTGAGTGAGCTGACTTGGGTCAAGGCTGATTCACCTTTTTACTTCCTTTAATAGAGACAAGGTAATTCTTATACCTGATCCTTGGTTCTTGCTTAAGGTAGTGGGTATTTTCTCCCCTAAATTACATTCTAATAAAGGGGAATCTGTCCTCCACCAACTGGATGCCCAAAGGGCGCTTGCATATTATTTGGACAGAACTAAGAGTTTTTGTAAAATGTCTAGACTGTTTGTTATGTATGTCAAGAATAATATGGGGCATACGGCTTCTTCTCAGACTATTTCCTGGTGTATTAAACAGTCTATTCAATCTGACCACATTACATTAGAGCTGTGGCTGCTTCTTTCGCTTGTTTGAGGCAGGTGCCAGATGTTGAGATCTACAAAGCTACAACCTGGATTTTGGTACACACCTTCACCAAGCATTATACTCTGAATTTGGTTTCTAGAGTCGATACTGGGTTTGGCAAGAGATGCTTCAGTGTTTATTCAATTAAGACTATGTTCCCACCTCCATGTTAGTCTCAGTACTCTTTATCAATCTGTCCCATAAGTGGGAATATGCAGAGCCACTGAAAGAAGAAATGAAGGTTATTTACCTTTAACTGGAGAGGGGCAGTGGTGCAGTAGTGCCATGGTTACACTGCTAGAAGGTAGGGTCAAAGGGTTCTAATGCAAGGTACCACAGGATGGTGCAATATCCCATAAATAGGAATGTGCAGGGACATCTCCAAGAACTCCAGTTTTCTTTACAATAATTCTAAAGATATTTGAAAAATAACTTTTGGGCAACTGGAAAGAGGCTGTATCCATTGTTGGTTTTCTTTTTTCCAGAGTTTGAGATTGTTGTATACCCAAAAGAATGCTTTTGATTTCTTACCCATTAAATATAATTTCTTTGAATAGTTGTGTTTGTGTGAATTTTTATTTTCACCTGGCTAACAATAATAAAAAAAAACAGACTTTTGGGTTTTGACTTTTTTCTTAATGAGGGCTTTGTATAGTTTAAAATTACACTTGAAAAAAAATTGAGTTTTGTATGATTAAAGCTCTGGCCAGCTTCTGGTGTGTTGGTGCTGTTTTCAGGTATTGTCTAATATAACAGTAACAGGAAACTTGGAAATGGCAGAGATGCTTAATGACTTCTTTGTTTCGGTCTTCACCGAGAAGTCTGAAGGAATGCCTAACATAGTGAATGCTAATGGGAAGGGGATAGGTTTAGCGGTTAAAAATAAAAAAAGACAAGTTAAAAATCACTTAGAAAAGTTAGATGCCTGCAAGTCACCCGGGCCTGATGAAATGCATCCTAGAATACTCAAGG